TTAATCCAAAAGTTTAAAATTGTAACAATATTACCCGTTACCATTAAAAAACTAATATTGACTGTTAAAATAGCAACGTTAACCATTAACATTTTTAATTGTAGAGGGCAAGATTGTTATGATTTTAAACTTTTAGGGCAAATTTTTGCATTAAAAAAAAAACTCCTGAGTACCCAACACTCATGTGTAAAAACTTTCAGAACAAATTTGAACCTTGACCGTTAAATTTTCAAATGAAGGTGGTCACCTAAGAGATAGATGAATTGGGTGATACAAAATTGTTATACTTTAGGCATACACATCAAGTGAGCTAAGAAGCGCGTCTAGAGCAAGGATGAACTAAGAAGATAGAGATTATGAAAAAGAAGAGCAATGCACAAGTTTATTTTGGTTTTGTCCAGCCCCAAGATCCTCCTAAGATTTTCACTATCCCCGCAAGTTTAATCTAGGCCCTTGTGAAGCCTTAGTACAACAATTTAATTATGTGTCTTTCAACATAAACGATTATCTATTTATGATGATGGAGAGAATTAGGCATAATTAATAATTATCTGTTACTTAGAAGAAAACTAATCGTCGAAACTAACTGTTCCAGCTTCTGACAAGGATAAATTCAATTAAGGGCTGAAGCATTTGTTACTGCCAAGTTGTTCTTTGTAACCTAATTCATACTATATAAATGAACCAATATATTTTAACGAAGAAGTAGCAAAGCATTCCAAATGATGTTTGTACGTCCAAATCATTGAAATTAAAAAAGAGGAAGAAAAAAGGTGAAGTGATTCTAGAATGAAACAAAAGGTATGGCGTAAGAGAGTATACTAAAATCCATTTCAGAGGGTAAAAACTCAATTTTAAGAGAGATGCAAAGCAAACTCGAGTTCATAATGAGTTTAAATCCAGTTTATCAGGGAATACTTTTATATATTTAATCCTCCTTAATTGGGCTTTTTAACGATGATTATATTATCTTGAGCTTAATTGAATATTACTCTCCCAGTCCTAAATATAAGACATACTTTATAGTGTAAAAAAGCTCAATTTTGGACTTTAATAGTTAAAATTGGTAATAAATATTGTGCCATTTTTTCTACTTAATATTTCTCATTTTTGTGCAGGTTATTCAGTGGAAAAATATAGTAGTACTTTCATTATCGGCATTCGGCAATTTGATTGGAGGAAATTGGGAGGCATCGGATCAAGCTATAATTAAGCTATATAATGGCTAAAACCCTAGGAAACTTTTTTTTATATATACAAAAAGTGAAAAACCTAGCAGAAAACTTCACACATGACCGACGCAAAAATTATACACTGTCACTACTACAAAATAATCTTATGATGGTTAAATGAACTTTTTACAGCGGTTTTGAGAGCGACGTCTATGCCATCGATGTAAAATATAGAGGATTTCAATGCCGTTCAACAACCATCGTGGTATGTACTTTTCACAATAGTTATATAAATAACAGCCGTGAAACAAAGATCTATTTAAACTCAGAACAAACATCAAATTTTTAATTAAAGAAAACAAATAAACCACAAAAACTATAAAACCCACAGAAAGAATGGAGGAAAAAAGGCGAAAAACTCACAAATAAAGATGAAGAGGATGACTGACAGCAACAACAATGGAAGAACATGGCAGAGACTATAGAAGCAAAGGATAAATGCCGGTAAAGGTAGGAGGAGGGAGCAAATCGAGTGGGAATAGTAATGGGGGACCATGAGCTCTGATTGTGAAAATTGAAAACTATCACACAATGGATAGGATTTTAAAATTTTGATAGACTTTTTAAGGTTGTTTTTTGAAAAACCGCCATAAAAAAGACTTTTCTGTTAGATTCGAGGTTTTGATGATAACAAAATGAGTATTTAAGTTTCTCTGCATGCATGTTAAAGATGTTTGAATATGTGTTCGATCATGTGTTGATCAAATACGTGTTAGATCAATAACTATGTATTTTGAGTTCAAATACTGTTAAGCTTTATCGATCACTTGTTAGATAATTCACTGTACTAGATAACGTGTTAGATAAATAGGTTTATCGATCACATGTTCGATCATCTGTTAAACTATTTCAATATAGGAGCTTTGAGGAAATTATTGATCACTTGATGGATAATTCAATAATCGATAAGCTGTCTAGTAAGAGAGATTAACTTCCTCACTTTTGACAAAGGGATAATCAATCACCTTATTGATTAAGAGGTAATCGATAGTGACTCAGATAATTGGTAAATCTCTGACTCACTTATTGTTTGAAATGGTTTATAGTTTTTCAATCACCTCATCGATCAATTTCTTATCGATAACTTGTTCTAACATTGCTTTACAAAACTTTCTTGGTTGTTTGATCAGCTATTCGATCAAGTCTCTTTCTAGAAATCAAGTTTCCACCAACGATGATCGATTCCTTAATCGATAATTTAACCATCAATCAACATCATGTTTTTTTTGGGATTTGAGGCTAAGTCTTTTTGAACTGTTTTTGCAATAACTTATTCGATCAAAATTTTATCGATAGCCTTTCAAATTAACGAGTTCAGAGTGTCTTTTACACAGTTGTTTATATTATCAATAATATATATGATTAAGCATTTATGGAGCATCTGTTCGATTAATTACTAACACATTTCTTTGAACTGTTCTTCATGATGATATTTCAGAAAATATATTTTTATCTTATCTTTAAGCTTTTCTCAGCCTTCATCATTCATATTATTTTCTTCTGAAAATCAATGAAGGCATCAAAAGACAAAATGACCAACTGTGCACTAAACTGAAGTACTTTCTTGATTAAGATCACTTTGCTTATATTTCATCATTTATCGATAACCTGTTTTATAAATGAATGATCCATGATGACTTTGATAAATGTTCTCTTCTTTTAAGTCTGATTCACTTGCTATTAATCGATAACATAATCAATCAAGGGATAATCAATCAAGACTTCGATCAAGTTGATTCATTTTACTTTTTGATTATCTCATGTTTGATTCTATGATTTTCTTTCTTGTATCAAAACCAAGAATCATCATTTCTTCTGATATTCATTCTTAATTACATGAGAAGAAAACTTACACTTTTGCCAAGACACTTATGCAGATTATGAAGCACAACGAATATATCATAGGCTCAACCTACCGTGTCAGAAGCATTTATTATGAACAACCGTTGGAATTGCCGAACACACGCAATGGAGACTCCAACGGCTACAAGCTCTTGTGTTTAACGGAAAACTGAAAGTATTCAACTATAAATGGCGTGAAGAGCATGGAATGAAGTAATTGAATGAACCGAGCTACCTTCTGTGAAAATTAATCCTCACATTCATTACTCTGTTTTTATGTTTTGAGCTTCAATGTTTATGATATATACTCTATGAGAGAGACTATAATTTCTTTTACTCAAATTTGTGAGTTACTCAAGAGTGTGAACTCTTGAGAGGATTGTAACCTTATGGGTAGTAAGAGAGAGTGATTGAGAGTGACTTAATTGCTATACTGAGGCACCAAGAGCTCATTGAATCTTAGGGATTTAGTGAAAACTCAGAGGCATTCTGAGGACTAGACGTAGGTCAAGTGGTTGAGACTGAACCAGTATAAACTCTTGTGTCATTCCTCTTCTTTTCATCCTCAGTAAAATTCTTCTAAACTTACCTCCATCGCTTTATCTGGTTATTCAATTCATTAAGTTAAATTTTTATATATCACTCAATTCACCCCCCTCTTAGGTGAAACTGCTACTAACATTTTCACAATGGTTTTCTGGATAACTGTCATGAAAAGCAAAATTTATTTTCCTATAATTACAAAAATACCACCGCCATTTTTTTTACAGCATTTTTTTTATAACTGCCATAAATTAGCATCATGAAAACTCTTTTTTGTAGTAGTGTGTTCACTAGATTTGTTGTGGAATTCTAGTAATACTATTCATCTTCACACTGAACTTCGAAATGTCTGGTGGGGCAAAAAAATTGACTTGACGAGAACAACACAAATGGTGACATCGCTTTCCTGAGAATAACACAAATGGAAGCTTTAAAAGATCTTTAGGGACATAACTGAGAGACTTATTTGCTATAGTTACTATCTCATGAAGAGGTTGGATATTAGATAATAAGCTACTCTAGTAGACTCATTATTCATGATGAAAATGATTCATAGATTAGGGACTTTACTGAGAAATTCAGATACTTACTTAGCTAGCTAGAGCCAAGGAAGCCCAAAAGAAAAGAGTTTTCCTAGACTTATTTATCTAGCTGCACAGTTAATGACAATAGAATACCAGTTACTAACATTGTTTTCCTTGCAAATTAAGAAGGGTTGATAATATGGTGAATCAAGATTCGAATCTCCACTGAAAGAGATGCTTGCATTTAATTCCCAACAATATCTCGAACAAAATTACCTCAAATATGAGGATACATATGCCAACAAAAGAAAAAAAGGTTAAATTGCTTATTTGTCTAGAAGTTTTCACTTATGAGCTTTGAGTATTCGAAAGTTTTTCTGTGCAAATTTACTTTGAAAGTTTAAAATCGTAACAATAAACCGTTGCAATATTAACAATATTGCTACGATTTTAAATTTTAGGGGGAAATTTACATCACAACCTCTTTATAAAAAAATTATAAGTGCAGGTACTAATACCTATAATCGGGGAAACTATAATGACTCAATAAAAAGGGGAAAAAAACATTTCAAAGACTTAATTAAATAAATCAACTAATTATATGATACAAAAAAAAAGCTGAAAATTACTAAATGTTAAAAAAAAAATTTGTTGTCATTTAGAAATTCAGTATTGTTAATATTAAATAAAGTGTGATTACCAAACCTGACTTAGGATTTAGTAATTTTCAGCTTCTTTTTTAGTCATTTCCCCTATATTCTAAGTACAACAAAATTTGCAAGAGAGGTTGTATTATTGGTAATAGTTGAATAATTTGTAAAATACTATGCCATTCATATATTATCATCAACACCACAAGCAAGAATCTAGCATATTGTGTGTTCAATCTATATTGAAGTAGTGATGCAATATATATTACTGTTTGTGGGCATTATTACATGGGAACTTGGGGACAAAATCATTCTGATGAAACACACAAATCAAAACCAAAGAGGACAGTGCCAGAGCAATAGGACCAAACATCCATAATACCAAGGGCACACTGAAACACAATACTCTATTCGCAATGAGACCCAACGCAAACCCTCTTTCCAGCACCCTTTCTGCATAACCGTTTTCAGGTAAGAAATCACCGCAGGAATTCATCAAGAAATTGGCATCAATCAGAAACCCTATGGCCATTGAGTTGCAGACGAAGCTAATCAGCACGAAAAATGATGCAGATGCGTATTTGAAGCTGTAGATTTGGTCTGATTTTGATCCCATGAGAGCGCCGGTGAAGAGGTGGCGGTGGTTGTGGCCGTGGCTGGCCGTGTAGCCGGCGCTAGTTATGGCGGCGAAAGCAAAGTTGATGAGAATGGTTATGGTTGCTGCGAAGATGGTGGACATTAGGGTGTTTCTCAGGCTTTGCACTACCAGCATTCCTTTCTCTTTATTTCCCTGCTCTATCGCGTCAATTGTTGTTAATTATTGATTATAATCAAATAGTAGTATTATGAGGTTTTATTATCACGCAGTAGATTATAACTCTTACGGTAAAGTTTAAATCCCACAAAAATAACTAGACCAATATCATAAAATCATAAAAGGAAAAATAGTCTTAATTCTGGCTCATCCATAGTGACAAAAATAAAAGATCTTTCATAAGTGAAGTTTAAGAAAGCAAAAGTATAAAGGATGTGGATTAGTAGTGGATGACTAATTAGCAAAAATTGAGTTCCAAATTCCATACATACAATTTAAAGAGTGTTTCAATCTTATAGAGGATGTGGAATTAATTTTAATAATTCCAAATAAAAAATTGAAGAATAAAAGAGATATATTTGGACATGTGAATCCTATCAAATATAGATTTTACTCTCACTTTTGTAATTCAATCATAAAATACTCAGGAAAAATCTCTTCACATATAGCTAGGATACTCAACATATATAACGAAAATGGATTATTTTTAAATTTAAACTATATGGAATCTACACCAAGAAAAATAAAGGAAAAAAAAAAGGGACCTGATTTAAGTGGAGGAACCAAGCTGATCTGCTGAGCCTCTTGATTCCATAAGTAGTGATGGAGGGTTTGTTCTTGATGTAATGGTAAAGATAGCCATGGTATCCTGCTATGAGGAACACACTTACTGGGATCAAAATGGCGTCCAAATAATTATGAATATGACTTTCTCCTATTGCCATCCTTCTTTTGATTCTTAGCTTCAGGTTTGTTTTGGTCCCTATTCATAATGCTCCTTCTTATATAAAGCCATGGCTATATAAAAGGAGTGCCCAATATAAAGTAGCAATTAATTAATGCAACTATATTACTACTTGTTTTTAATACCCTTAGTGCACATCATTTAGTGGAAAGGGGAAATGACAATTATAAGTTATGGAAGGATATTAATGACAATGGGAGACCACATAAGTTTTAAAATTTTATAAAAGGACCAAAATCTTTACATGAATTTTTGGGAGAAAGACACACAAGGGCAATTAAAATGTGCAATCCCAAAATCGTCTCTTAAAATAGCTTAATTCCTATGAAGTTTTAGGGATTATTTTGAAACTAATTTTTTAAAAATAATATAATATAATTGTCTTCATGTGAAAAGGAAATTCCTCTATTGATGGCTGTCAAAGCTTTCGCCACCGCTAGCTAAAACTCCAATGAGTATTGGGTGGAAACTTTAGTGTCGGCCTTCAACCGAACTTTAAGAAGATATATGAAATGACTAATTCACTCTAACTATATAATTAAATATTTTAGTTATATAGAACAATAATTTTATGGGTAAAAACTAATCTCTTGACAACTACTCTCTAATAATTTACTTAATATCCTTATGTCGTTTGCATCATTTTCCCTAGTGGAAATTCTACACTGTTCACCAGCAGCTTTGTGGTGGAATTTGAGTCACAAGACCGGCTAAAAGTGGTAATAATACACTAAACATCTATATATTTTAATAAACATTCCAAGAAAAGGCACAATTATCAAGCATTTTTAATATGCTAACTGTCTTTTCTTGCTATCTTAAGATATTATTTTTTTTATCATAACTCGTACATCTATCATATTTTTTTACTAACGATTTGAATTCATAATCTCATGCTTGAGAAAGCCTCAAAGGAAGGTGCTTAATTTTAGTTAAACTATAAGACTCTAACAAAATATTTTAATCCTTGTAAATTCAATCACGCTACTTTATAGAAAACATATAAATAAATGAGAATCAAACAACGAAGCGCTCAATTGTTACTTTACAAAATGAAATATAACAAACACATGTATTGTGATATGACGTCATGTGTTTGGTGTCTTTTAATTCGTCAATAAAAAGTATAGTTAGGTCGCTCATATTCTTTTTAAATTATCTGATATGTGGATAAATTTTTAAAATAATTATTGATGACCACCAGAATATTAGGTTAGCTCTTTCTGTGGAACGAATTATTTACCCAAAAGGCTCCTCCAAGCCTTCAATCATTTGACAAATCAGTAGGTAATATCGCCAAATGCTTTTTGTCACTTTAAAAAAAAGAGAAAGGAATATGATATTTTGGTTGTCCGATTATTCTGTCGATTTCTTATGTAAATAATAAATCAGATTACAGAGTTCAACTTGAGGAAATATATGATACTCTTGATTTTAAATGTAAGAGCTGGTAGAACGATGATTTACATTAATCCTAAATATAAAACTTACTTTGTTTTTTAAATTTGTAATTTTTTCCTAAACTCTATTAATTATAGCATCCAATGCAAATGATTAAAAGAAATATTTTTAAAAAATTAATACATACTCCTCATAAATAATTAATCTAAATAATTTTTTAATCTTCACAAATTAATTAACTAACTAGACGGAATGTTTTTTTCAGGCAAAGATGCGTAACGAAACAAAACCACATAGCTGGCAACAATACTCCCTCCCACCTTTTTATAAAAATGTTCCTATATATAAGAAATAAATATTTTTTATCTAGAATTTTAAACTAATTTCATTTTTATTGTTACTAAATATATGCCATTTATTATATCTCAATAATAAATTTTTGCTCATTATTTCTCATTTACTCTCATTACTAACAAGAATATAATTAAAAAAATATGTAACTTACGAAAAAATATATATATTATCCATTTATTACTTTCAACTAAGTTCAATTAACATTTCAAATTTGGTAGTTGTTTCTTATTATAATAAGGAACAGAAGGAGTCCCGTGGAATGGAAAAGTTAAGAGAAAATCACTTTGCATACACCAAAACATAATAAAAACAGTTTCCCTCGTTTTTAAAAAAAAAAAAAAAATTTTTAACCAACGCCACCTAAGTGAAACAAAACGGAAAGAAAAATGGAATTAAATTTTTCCAAAGAAAAAACACATCCTCATTGCAAAACCAACTCACGACAACCCAATTTGCAGATTGATTCACGTCTGTGTAAGCTAGAGACAAAGACACATTGCTGAAGAAGAATATTGTCATTGTCATATGGGACATATCCACCATTACAGTTGCACCAACCCAATTTCCTATATGAACAATCATTCACAAATAAGGTGTTTTATCAGCATAATATCTTATAAAACTGTCATTTTTATTTTTCTTATATGAGTATTTCTTTTTTTAATTTGGTCCCTTTCGAATAATAAAATTAATATCAACAATGACATTTTATCAGTCTATTATATAATGATGCTGGCAACAGTAATGATATGTGGTACATTAATCTTTTTACACGGGTTTGGCAATGCGGTAATAGATTGGTAAAATGACATTAATAACAATTTCATTTGTGTTAGTTTAATTTAAAAACCCAACATATATGTCTGTGTATATGTGGAAAATATTATTAAAAAAATATTCTTAATTGGATCCGACAATACTCAAATATGATGACCTAATAATATTATATTTCAAATGGCTGTATAAAAAAAAATGTAAACTTTAGTCCTTAATAACCCAGCATAACTAGATCCGTATAATTTCTTAATTCAAAACAACTGGATTCCTGTGCTTTCTGAAACTTATTCTTATAATGGTATAACTCAATGAACTATAAGATTGGATTATGATGACTCAATTTAGAAATTGACTGGGTGTGTCAATTTTAAAGACCAAAATGTTGGTTTCCTAAAATTTTATTTAACAATCATTTTCCATTAAATTATTTATGAGACCATCAACCAAACACTCGTATATATATAGGGGTGTTTTATAGCTTATGAGATCACCATAGTTTTGGGTTTATAATTAATTTTGACATAAATATTTGGTGGCATATGAGATTTTTTTTTATGAACTGGTAGCATATGAGATAATCATGCTTTTGGATTGATATATAATTTATTTTGACATCTATAGTCTTTGGATTTGGCTTTGGCTTTTCCATTCTACTATAATAAATTTCACATTGAGCAATATGAAATGCTCAAGGTATTTAAATAGATTAGTTTTCTTACCTCAGCAGCTAGTTTTTGGAGTAAAACTTTCCATCTCACTTAAGTATCCATAAACGGGTGGTTGTAGGCTGTTTTAGAAAGGATTACTCGTTGCCAACACCACTACGGTGTAGTGACATGTCAGTTGTCTTGGATGCAACAGGTCGCAGCTTCGATCTGCTCTGCAAGCATTATTAGCTTGCTAATTCAAAAAAAAAAAAGAAAAAAAAAAAGAAAAAAGAAAGGGTTACTCGTTAAGTCAACTAACAAACAAGAGATCAAGTGAACTTGATCGGTAGGATATTTAAATGAGTTTGTTCTTCTATCTCAATAATTAACTTTTAGGAGAGGCTCCATATCCATGCACTTTTTTTTTCCTTTGAAATGCAAAAATGAAGAGATCCAAATCTTATACCATGTGGGGAATTCAGTTAAAATGTTTTATAGGATATAAAAAATTCTAATTGTGCTCCAATAATTTGGACATATGCGCTGTGTATTTCATGAAGTAACATGTATATAACTCTGATTTTTTTAATGCAATTAGTTAATTTAAGTGTACACACAAATATGTTGATGCATGCCATATTTAAATCTAAAACCTAATTCAAGTGTGATGGATAATACTATCATTACAACCGCTTGCGGTCCACAATTCATAAATCTGCTTCGTCTGTGATTGTCATAGTTTTTATATTTATTATACAAGATAGTTTTTCTACAATTAAATGATAATTGATATTGTCAAGTTATCACATTTGAGTATTACAAGACCTATTCATTATTTTTCCTAAGCACACCAAATATATGTATTTTTTTCATTGGTGATAATTCTATTCGAGATATCATTGGTCACTAAATGTAGATATCTTTCCTGATGAGAACTTGAATATTAATTTATGATATTATAAGACACTAGCTCATTCTGTTAGGTGTAACTTTATTTTAAGGAAGAGCGAATGAATCAGAATTTGTTTGGGTTAGGCCTGTGAATGGAAACAGAGAATGAGCACATCCGGAAAGGGAGCTTTTGGCGACTAAAACGACGTCGTTTTCGAGGTGGCCGGGGAGCAACGTGGCATCAGTGCTCTGAAACCCGTTTTACCCTTCTCAGCTTACTCCGGGACGCCTAGAAGAATCTCAAGTGCAAAAATCTCGGCACAAAGAAAAGCAATCAATCAAAAAAGCTAGCTCCAGGGATGCTACGCAGTAGCATGAAGAAGAGTAAGATGATTGAGTTCTTACTCCAGTGCGTCATTTCTCTATGCGTCTTAATTCCGCTCGTGAATGCTTCAATCCACGAGTATGCAAACGAAGCCTTCATACACAGGTCCAATGCTTTCTTCTTCCATGGCGGCAGCGAAGGACTTTATGCTTCTAAGATTCGCGATTCTTCTACTCCGGTTCCTCCGGACAAGCCTCTCAAGGGCAAGTCCTTTATTAGGTACTTCTCTTGTTCACTCTTTTCTTTTCTGAACTGGAATTTCGATCCTTTACTAGGGATCCTTATTCCCTTTAATTATTTGCATAATTGCATTTCCTCTTCTATGCCTCCTTTCAAGTTGACATATTTGATAATCGTTCCACAAGTTAGTTTGTCGTTTCTCTTTTGGGTTTTCGTTGCATGTTTAGATCGGTGTTATCGGAATGAGCTCTGTCTCCGTGGCCTTGTCTTCATTGTCTATACTCTGAATGCCCAGTTATGCAAAGCGCCAAACGCCCTAGGTTCTCAATTATTCCTTGTTTGACA